ATCAGAGGCTTGGAGGCCTAAGAGGAAAAAGTGATTTCATGGACAAAGCCCAGGATCCCTGTGCTCTGTGCAGCCTAGGGACTTGGTGTCCTACATCCTAGCCACTCCAGCCATAGCTGAAAGGGGCCAACGTAAGAGCTCAGGCTGTGGCTTCAGAGGGTGAAAATCTCAAACCTTGGCAGCTTCCACATGGTGTTGAGCCTGCTAGTGCACAGAAGTCAAGAATTGAGGTTTGGGAACCTATGCCTAGATTTCAGAGGATATACGAAAATGCATGGATGTCCAGGCAGAAGTTTGCTGTAGGGGCAGGGCTTTCCTGGAGAACCTCTGCTAGGGCAGCACAGACGGGAAATATGGGGTTGGAGCTCCCACATGGAGTCCCTGTTGGAGCATTGCCTAATGGAGCTGTGAAAAGAAGGCCACCGTCCTCCAGATACCGGAATGGTAGATCCACCAACAGCTTACACTGTGCACCTGGTAAAGCTACAAACACTCAGTGCCAACCCATGAAAGCACCTGGGAGGGAAGCTGTACCCTGCAGAGCCACAGGGTCAGAGCTGCCCAAGACCATGGGAACCCACCTATTGTCTCACCATGACCTGGATGTGAGACATAGAGTCAAAGGAGATCATTTTGGATCTTTTAGATTTGACTCCCTGCTGGATTTCAGACTTGCAAGGGGCCCGTAGTGCTCCTTTGTTTTGGACAATGTCTCCCATTTGGAATGGCTCTATCTACCCAATGTCTATACCTGCATTGTATCTAGGAAATAACGCACTTTCTTTTAATTTTACAGGCTCATTGGTGGAAGGGACTTGCCTTGTCTCAGATGAGACTTTGGACTGTGAACTTTTAAGTTAACGCTGAAATGAGCTAAGATTTTGGGGACTTTTGGGAAGATATGATTGGCTTTGAAATGTGAAGACATGAGATTTGAGAGTGGCAAGGGGCAGAATGATATGGTTTGGCTATGTGCCCACCCAAATCCCATCCTGAATTCCCACATGTTTTGAGAGGGATCTGGTGGGATGTAATTGAATCATGGGGGCAAGTCTTTCCCATGCTGTTGTCATGATAGTGAATACATCTCACAAAATCTCATGGTTTTATAAAGAGGAGTTCCCATGCACAAGCTCTCTTTGCCTGTTGCCATCCATGTAAGATGTGACTTGCTCCTCTTTGCTTTCTGCGATGATCGCAAGGCCTCCCCAGCCATGTGGAACTGTAAGTTCAATTAAGTCTCTTTCTTTTGTAAATTGCCCAGTCTCCAGTATGTCTCTATCAGCAACCTGAGAACAGACTATATATGTCTCATAGCTGTTTAATGTGCATTGCTTGGAGTCCTAAAGACAGTCACTGTCCTGACATAAAATTCAACAAGGGATTCAAGGACAGAACCATGATGGAATCACTGTATTTCTTACAGACTGAAAATCAGGTGTCTACAAACGAAAACTCCAGCTTTAAGGAGAATTGGTAGTAGTGGGCTGAGGATTTAAAAAGTACTCATACTCATGGGAAAAGATTGATTTTTCTGTAGCTTAACTAATAAATCCTACAACTGATCTCCTTAGTTTACAGTGTGCTGATGCTATCAATTCACCAGAAATGAATCTATACATGAAAATGTATAATATTTCAGTTTATCATAACAAAATCATTTTTTTCCAGTTAGATATATTTCTTTTGGTAAAGGTTAAGTGACATTATATTGAAAGATCTCCTTTTGAAACTAGTGGCCTCAAAATTAGGAGATTTCTGTACCTCTTCATCAGTAGCCTTCATCAATATAGAGTAGCAGCGACAACAGAGAGAGGTGGTGAGTGATGTGGGATACCAGGCCTTCCCATAACAGGGTGAGATTGATTCTGTCACAGAATCTAGGGGCACAGCCAGCCTGATTTTTGGAAGGAATTTGATGCTGGGATTTTCTCAGTTGGTGGACTCTCAGGTCTGATCAAAAGGAAACACCAGACTGTTGGTATATCCTAGAGGATTTCTCACTTAGAACTTTTTAGAAAAGGAAAACTCATATGCTTTTCTAAAGTTTGAATCATAGCCTGTTGGCCAGTAAAAAGAAAAGCATGCAACTAAAACAGGAAACTTGGCATGTTTTCTCTCTTGACCATGATGTGACCTTGCAGAAGTCATTCTGAGTTTGTAAAATACAAGCTTAAACTGGTTACCAACTCCAGCTAATGTAAACAAAGGGATTCTATTATAAGGATGCCAGAGTGTCTCAAGGAACTCAAGTACAGTTGACCTTCAGGAGTGGTTAGAACCAGGAATTTGAAAACTAGTAAGATTACTTTCTCTGACTTTCATCTTTGTATCATATCCTCTCTCTCTCTCTCTCTCTCTCTCTCTCTCTCTCTCTCTGTCTATCTAACTATCTTTCTCTCTCTCTTTCCCCTCAAACCCCCACATCTTTCCCCTAAGACTGATTTTCTGGGATTATCTGGATACAGCTTCTGAATTTTATGGATTCAATTGCATGTGAGTCTAGGACCAGGGTAAGGCAGGAGAAGTTCCAAGGATGCACAATGCAAGGAAGACCTTAGAGGTTTGGTCTCTCAGTGACATGAAAGTAAATTTTGGTCCTCTAGGTGCCTCTCTTCCCTCACCTTAGTCCTGACCCTGATAAGGTGACTGGTGATGTCTGTGTCTCAGTTCTAACCTGGCAAGGCAAAAACATCATTGGCACATTTTGAATCTGAAATTCAGCTCTAATCCAAAGAGCAATGGCACCAGGGTTAAAGCCACGAGGTACATACCGAGTTTCTGAGTGTCAATAGCTCTGAAAGGAGCTATTCTCAGATAAAAAGGAACCACAACTTGGAAAGAAACCCTCAAATCTTCAATCACAAATGTACTTTGTAAGTATCTATTTCTATTACAGTTTTGGTGCTATTTTATTCTGCCCTGTTATGAACCTTGTAACTCCTAAACATGTACATTGTATAATTTATTATATCAGTGTCAAAAGGATCCCTGAAGTTTTCACACACAGTTACTACCCTTGAGAGTCTCGTTTGCGAGGATAAAACTAGATACAGAATGCATGCAGAAGAGTAATTATAGTAAGCAATGTGAATTAATTAACTATAAAAATAAAATTTGCATTGAGTCAATGCATTGTAGAGAAGTTTAGAGAAGGAGAATAATAGCAAGGAGAGGAAGAATCAATGATGTCTTCTTAAAGTCATCGTTTTTGGGGACAAAGAAGACAGCAGATACAGAGGCTTACAGAAAGAATCATATCAGAAAATATTAATGCCTGCAGAGCATTGAAATGTTGCAGGGGACACCAGATGCTCATTTTAATATTACATGTCCCATCTCCCTAATGTGAATGAAAGACACATGAAGTTGGAATTGATGCCACTTTCTGTCAAGAACTTTCCCAATGCTGAGAAAAAATATTCATAATCGTTCTATTTATTCAAAATTATTGTATTGACCATGAATTTAAGTGTGTGTAAAATGGTCAGTAGTGCTATTTGTTAATGAGGGAATCAAGTGAAAGTGTGTCCTTTGCAGAAAATCACTTTTTAAAAGTAAATTCAAAAAGATGTTTCCCCTTTATCCTTCTACCTCTGATGACTGATCCCTTTTCTAGAGTAGAGAATTGGGCATTGCTCTAGTTGGGATGTTTGACCTCTCCAAATCTCACGTTGAATTTGATCCTCACTCTTAGAGATTGGGCCTAACGGGAGGTATTTGAGTCACAGGGACGAATCTCTCCTGAATGTTTTGGTGAGGTTCTCGTGGTAATGAGTGCATTCTCCTCCTCATAGTTCTGTGAGAGCTGATTGTTAGCAAGAGTCTGGCATCCTCCTCCCCTCTTTCTCTTCTTCCTCTCTTCTCGTATGATCACTGTACATGCTGGCTCCCCTTCTCCTTCCATCACGAGTAGAAGCCACCTGAAGCCCACATCAGGAGCAGATGCTGGAGCCATGCTTCTTGTACAGCCTGCAGAATCATGAGCCGCAAGTAAACCTCTTTTCTTTATAAATTACCCAGCCTCAAGTATTCCTTGATAGCAACACACAACAAACTAACACAGGCATCAATTGCTCTTTTCCTGGACCTGTACTACCAGAGCCTATTTATTTCCACAGAAGTTTTTCTGCTCATAAATATAATCCCCAAAGCCTTTATTTTGAATTTTCCCCTAAATAAAATTAAGGACCCCTTGGAGAGTCAAGCTTTTAGGAGGGACATCTATTACTACAACTTCTGTGAAGATATTATTGAAAAATGGTTCAGATGTATATGCCGAAGTCTCATGTAAGAAATATCTTTTAAAGCTAGAGACGTTTTTGGGGAAGTCCTCACTGTCTCCCTTCCCCTAAGGAACTGATAATTTTTTCTATGAGAATAGTCAGAACAACAGAACTGACCAGGCAGCCCTTTTTCCTTTGGTAACCATAGATTGGCCCCAAACTCACAACCCACAAAATGCTCTTCTTTTTATGTTCTAGGTTTTCTATGACAAATACTTGTAATCCTAGTTCATATTTTCCCAAATCTTATTTTACTTAATTTTAGTCTTTAATTGTTTTACTCTTTGTCAGTAAACGGATTCAAATCTTTTGTGGAATGGGATATAGAGGAAAAAAGAAAGGAAGAAGGGAAGAAGATCCCAGATTTTCCTTACAATGGGTAAAAAATGGCCAAGCAAATGTAAATTGTAGTCTCTTCACCACAAACAGCATTGGCATTTATAACTGTATCAGAAAAGCATAATAGCAACAAATAAAATAAAACAACAAGAGCATGAAATTTTATTTTCCCTTAAAAAGAACCAACAATGGAAAATCTGCAGAGGGTTAGAGGTCCAACAGTGGCAGGTGGGGATGAGAGACTAAAAGGAAAAAAACAACCATAATACAGTGCTTTTTTATGTAATTCTACGCCCAAACCCGTACCCAACAGGTGTGGGGGCTGAAAAGCCGTGTTGTTTCAAAGCCCTTTGTCATATATTATCCCCTTTGGCTCCTAACACCCTGTAAAATAGGTCATGCAGGTAAGATTTCAACTGAAGAATTAAACTTTGATGTACTGAAAACACAAAACTAAGATTTACTAGTGTTATAATGGGTAAGACGAGAGGCTGTGGTGTCAGATACAGCTTGAATTCCCACTTCTACTATCAACTATTTATCAGACTTGGAAATCCCGTATAGCCCATTCCCTCATCTGTAAAATGAGAACAATGAGTGCTTTCTATAAGTTTCCCTCTCCCTCCTCCAAAAGTTCTGCACATTTGTCGCTGAGTTCCCAAAAGTTTAATTTGGTTAGACCCAATGTAAACCTTGCCTTAATCTTTTCTTGGAATTTAAGTCCTCAACTTAAAGTGTTCTCTCCTACTACAGGGCGTGAAGCACCAATTAGTCCCTTGCCAGTTGTCAATGTTCCAGCTGTCAGCCACCCCACCAAGTGCCCTTGCAGATGACCCAGTGCATATCCATGTGACAGGCCTGCCCCCATTGCAGCTGGTGACTCTGAAGGCCTCGCTGAAGGATGAGAAGGGGAATCTGTTCCGGTCCATGGCCTTCTACAGGGCTAATGAGGTTGGTGAGGTGGACCTGGAGCAGGCTCCCGCATTTGGAGGTGACTACGTGGGGGTACATCCAATGGGCCTCTTTTGGTCTCTGAAGCCTGAGAGGCCTTTCCGGAGGCTGCTCAAGCAGGATGTGATGAACAGCCCCTTTTGGGTCACGCTGGGCCTATATGACTCCATTTGTTTTCAAGATTCAGCCACTGTTCAGCCCAAGGCTAGCCAGACGGTGCAGCACTGGTTCTCAGGCCCTGGGGTGCAGAGGAAGCAGATCCGAGAAGGCCAAGGGGCCCTTTTTCTCCCTCCAGGTGAAACTAATCTTTGGTGATAGTGAAACCAGTGTTAATGTGTATTAGTTTGTTTCCACACTGCTGATAAAGGCATACCCGAAACTGGGAATGAAAAGACATTTAATTGGTCTTACACTTCCAGATGGCTGGGAAGGTCTCATAATCATTGCTGAGGGCAAAAGGCACTTCTTACATGGCAGCAACAAGACAGAATGAGGAAGAAGAAAAAGCAGAAACCCCTGATAAACCCGTCAGATCTCACGAGACTTATTCACTGTCACGAGAATAGCAGGAGAAAGACCAGCCCCCATGATTCACTTACCTCCCCCTGGGTCCCTCCCACAACACATGGGAATTCTGGGAGATACCTTCAAGTTGAGGTTTGGCTGGGGACACAGCCAAACCATATCATAATGGAAATAAAAACAACAAAAAAAAGTATCAGATTATTAGAGAGCCAGTATTTCCTATAAACTTTTAAAATTAATGTGCCTGTATGTGTCTGTGTGTATCTGTGTGTGTAATTAATTTTGTTCACCTTGTATTTTCACGGCTATTTGACCCTTTTTTCACTCTTTCTGATCCTATTTTCTTCTCTCTCTGCACCCTCAGGGGAAGGCCCTTTCCAGGAGTCATTGAATTGTTTGGGGGTATTGGGGGCCTAATAGAATTTCGGGCCAGTCTTTTGGCTTCCCATGGTTTTGCAGTGCTGGCGTTAGCATATTTTGCCTACGAAGACCTGCCTGACAAACTGCAGGAGGTGGACTTGGGATATTTCGAGGAAGCTGCCAACTTGCTACTAGCTCATCCCAAGGTATTTAAAATACTTTCCTTTTTACCTTGCAACATTACACATACACACACGCAAAGTCACCAATGTCTGCCCTCTTCTACCAACTTGTGCAGACTTGGAGACAGCACAGCTGACAGTTAAGTGGAGATATAATAGCTGCCTTGTCAATTGAGTTGATTTGTGATCAGTTTTGTGATTATTGGCACATAGAAGACAATAAATAAGTGGTGGACATGATATCATGATATGGTTATTTTTTAGTAGAAAGAAAACCAAGACATCTTTAATTTAAAGTGCTTGTAACTTTTTCATAAGTGGCTCTTCAATGCTTTACTGTTACTCATCTCAAATCATGAATTCTGGCTTGACAGGTTTTCAAACTTCAGTGATTATCTCTGCAGGGGAATAATGCTGTAATAACTCACACTGAAGAGCCCTGAAGCTAAGAACAATGCAGAAGTTCGGTACTAAACCTGAGGTACAGGATCAGGTCAGGAGTATTGGCAAAACTGATTTGACGGCATCATCTGACTAGCTGAATTAGCTCTTTAGTTAGTTTCAGAGCTAGGGGCAGAGTGAAGCATAGAGTAAATGTCCAATGCCATGATCCAGGCTAGATATAGGAATCTGAAAGGGAAGGGTCATTTTAGCACTCTTTGTCAAGTGTGTCCTTCTACCATTGAAAAATGTAGTTCATGGACCAGTGGCCACAGCATTACCTGGAAGCCTTCAGAAATGCAGAATCTCATTTTTCATCCCTGTATCAGCATGCTGCATATTAACAAGATCTGCAGGTGATTCTTAAGCACATTAGTGATTGAGAAGGACTGGAATAGTACACTAACTAGCTTCCTCTAAGAGTTAAATATCACTTGAACTAGGATCTAGTTCTCTTGAGGAGTTCCAAAGTACTAATATTTGTGCTAGTGATTAAAAAGAGAAACCCAGAAATAGATACCACAATATCAAGTATCAGGTTTGGTATTCCACTGAGTTTAACTTATTGTTTTGCAAATCAAAATGTTCAAATGTCAGCAATATCTTATGGATCAACTTAATAACGGTAAAACAATACTGGCTTACATTTGTTGAGTGACTATTTGTTAGACTCTAGGCAAGATATTTTATATGCAGTTTCATGTAACATTCACAATAGCCTTATGAAGTACCATCAACAGCAACCTCATTTTTCAGATGAGGAAGCATATTTAAAGTAATGTGTCAAAACTACATAGCCAGTAAGTGACAGAGACAATCTGATAATGTCTTTGCTCCAAACCAGGCGTCCCCAAACTACGGCCTGCAGGCTGCATGCGGCCCCCTGAGGCCATTTATCCGGCCCCTCGCTGCACTTCAGGAAGGGGCACCTCTTTCACTGGTGGTCAGTGAGAGGAGCACAGTATGTGGCGGCCCTCCAACGGTCTGAGAGACAGTGAACTGGCCCCCTGTGTAAAAAGTTTGGGGACACCTGCTCCAAACCATTAAATTACCTTTGACTTCCCCAAATGTTTCATTCTCTTCGACCCCAACCCTGAAGAGCCTTGACTCTTATCAAGTGGAGATAGGATATGTTTCCTATTTGAACATTATTAACATCTCCATCTTTAGTGTTGAGAAAACATGTAATTTTTCTAAGCTTATTTGAGTGTTTTTAAAAGATTGCCTAAAAGGAATTAAATGCCAACTAAGACGTTTTCAAATTATTTTTTTTTTTTCATTTCTCATGTAACTATTTGTGACATTAGCCTGAGGAAAATAAATCAACTGCAAAAATTCAACTTAGATTTAGATTCAGGAGATAAGCTTCAATTTCTACCTCTGCCTTTTGATAATGTTGTGGCCTTAAGCAAATCTTTTAAGTTTCTTGAATCCAGTTTGGCCATTGGAAAGACCAACTGAAATAATGTGTATATAGCACTTAGCATACAGTAAACCCTCAAAAAATCCACTTCGTTACCTTTGCCCATCTATTTTCTTCCCTCTCTTCCCAAGTCTTCAACCAATCAGCAAGTGTTTTAAGTTATACTCCTGTCTTTCTCAATACAGCACACCCTCTTCATCCTCCTTGACATTGTTTTAGCCTACTTCTCAATTTCCTACTTCCAGATACAGCCTTCCTCCTTCACTCTCTATTCATCAATCACACGGATGATTCCCGATTTTCTTGGGGGACATTTCACACTATCAGATTCTTGGGCCCACTCATACCTATGGCACAGACACTCAAAAAAACTGAGTTTCAGAAAGCTCAAAAAAAAATCAGTTTAAAAAAAATTAGATGATTCTGATGACAGGAAGTGCTGGGGGTACAATTGTGAACAAAATAAGCAAACTAGGTCTTTAAGTACTTGCTGTTCCTTGTCCAGAGTGCCCTTCCTTTCCTCCTTCATCTTTGAGACCTCTCACAACCCCTCAGCCCCCTCAGTCTATGAGAGAATTAATGATCCCCTTGTATGAGCTACTACCTTTTCTTCTTGGGCTAGGTACTACAATTCAATTATTTATTGAATCCAAGCCTTTTGTCTTTATACTCTCATTGCTTTCAAAATTAGCTGTTGAATTTATGGAGGTAATAAATACATGGGCAAAAGCTTCGTAGCTATAAAATGCTATTTAAATGTGAATTTCACTTACATAATATTTAAGAGAACCTGGGAAACACCCCCTTTTTTTTCTGGCTAGAGACAATTTTGCTCTTCAGAACGCTCTGTTCTTGTACTGCCAAGTATCACTGGTGCATTAGACTCTTTTTACCTTTACAAAACTCTGCAATTGATGAAGAGTGTTTATTTCTATTGTTTCACTTGATCCTCATAACAACCTTAAAAGGTCAGTAATAGTATCATCCCTACAAGACAATAAAGCTTAGAGAGGTTAAGTGGATAAGGTTCTCAGTCCCAGAAACTGGTAAACCTGGATGCCAGGTCTTGACCTCCTTTGACTCCTTCCATCATACTTGTTTGTTGGGACACCCAGGACAGCTCTTTCTCAGCTTGTGATCTGTAATTGATTTCCCTTTGTTTTGTGCTTCAGATCCAAAGGCCAGGGATTGGAGTGATCTCCGAGTGCAAAGGTGCCGAGATTGGCTTGGCTATGGCATGCTACCTGAAGCAGGTGGTGGCCACCGTCTGCATTAACGGGACCAACGCCAGCTTCGAAATTCCACTCAGATACGGGGATCTGGTTGTGACACCCATCCGCTCAGCTCAGGAGCGAATGCAGGTCCACGTCTCAGGAGCGAATGCAGGTCCACGTCTCCGGAGCTGTGCGCATCCGCCACTGTAAGGAAGACCCCCGAGATGAGCTCCATCAGCAGAGTGTGCTTCCTGTTGAAAAGCCCAGGGGTTGGATTCTTTTCACCGTCGGAGAGAGTGACGAATGCCTGGATAGCAAAGTGTACGCTGAGCAGGCCGTGGACCAGCTGCGGAGCCACAGCAGAAGCAGCAGGAGGATGCTGGCTTACCCCGGGGCAGGCCACCTCCTAGAGCCGCCCTATGCGCCCTTGTGTTTCGCGTCCTGGAACCCGGGCATTTCGAGGCCTTGCTCTGGGGAGGAGACCCTGCTGCTCATGCGGCAGCCCAGGAGCACACCTGGGGGGAGATCCAGAAATTCTTCAGGCAACACCTCATTAAGACCAGAAGCGAATTCTGAGCAAGGGCTGAGTGATGATGGGGTGGGCAGAGGCTGGAGTGCGGGTGGGGGGATGAGGAGGATGAGGCGAGAACGAGGTAGGGTGAGGGGGCTCGCCTAGTTTGGCTAGATCCACAGTCACCTTGAATCAACTGGAAGGAGGTAAGACACAAGCCAAAGGACTGGGCACACATTCATAGGAAGTATTTCTCATAAATTTGTACGTGTTACAAATTTTTGTAAATTGAATTCTACTTTACACAAACTAAGGCACATTATTATTTCAAAATAGTGATACCCTTGCAAACTGTTTTATTGTTTTTGTTGTTGAACAGAGTCACGTTCATTCACTCAGGCTTGAGTGCAGTGGTGAGATCATGGCTCCCTGCAGTTTTGAACTCCCAGGCTCAAGCTATCCTCTCAGCCTTCTGACTCACTGGGACTGCAGGTGTGTATTACCAAGCCTGGCTAATTTTTTTTTTTTTTTTTTTTTTTTTTTTTTTTTAAGAGACAGGATCTCGTTAAGTTGCCCACGAGGTTGTTGAACTCCTGACCTCAAGCAATCGTCTTGCCTCTGCCTCCCAAAGTTCTGAGATTAAAGGCGTGAGCCACAACACCTGGTCCCTTGCAAACAGAATAATCTTTTATACCCCAGTAGCAATAGCTTGGGCCACTCATTGCCAATCTAGATAAATTCCCTAGAACCTCCCAGTTACTGACAGAAATATATTTTCTGTTTAAGCTATTTTGAATTGCATTTCTGACACTTGATATGAAAAGTTCTAAAACCAACATTAAGTATAATGCTTGCTGTAGATTTCCAGTAGATTCTTATTTTTTTTTTGACATAGTGATGTTTCTATTATTCCTAATATATATATTTACCGTTTTAATAAAATTGGATTTTATCAAATGCCTTTGTGGTAATTTATTAAAATTAAATGAGTTAATATTTTTAAAGCTGTTAGAACAGTGCCTGACACATAGCAATTACTATTCTAGAGTTAGCCATTATTATTTTCTTAAAGCTTTCCTTCTCAAGTCTGTTAGTGAGGTGAATTGCATTTATTAATTGACTCATTTTTCTTATGTATCTAATTTTAATAGATGAATTTCTCATTTATTAATGTGGGTTTTAAAACTTGTTTTAGAGCCAATCTGGTCATTTATGTTTTTTCAGAATTGCACCCATGCTTCCTAGAACACATTTTTCTCTTATAATTTTTGACATGGCCCCTATTATTTATATGAGTGTTTTTTCTTCTCAGCCTGATTTGTGAAATATTTCTCTTTTATTGATCTTTTCCAGGGACAGTTTTTGGTTTATTTGTTGGTCAAATTTTATTTTGCTGATTCATTGAGTTCTGATTTTTAGAAGTAAATTATTTTCTGCTGCCACTTTTGTATTTTTCTGGCTTTGTGATATGCAGTGCTCTCATTTCCTTAATTTCTTAAAAAGTTCTGATTTACTTTTTGTTCCACTTAAACCCAAGACTTATTTTGCAAAAGTACAAAGCATTATCCTGTAAATAATTTGTCATTACTAGGAGGTGGGGAGAAATGTCACTTTCCAATGAAGGAATCAGATTATCACAACCTGAACTCACTACTTAAATTTCACATCTGTAAGAGGGGTCAGTGACATTATATGTTTCAGGATGGGATGTAATGTGGGGGACCCACACTGCTTAAAACTATTCCTGACAACAGTTTCAGGAATGGTAAAACTAATCTTAGGAGGAGGCTGAGACTAACCAACCCTTTAATAATTAATTAATAATTACTATGGTATCTGTTGAACAAAGTAAATGGCCCTACAAGTTAAGAAACATTCTATGGAACAACTGCCTTGTTTCTTCAAGTAATTGCATGAAAAAAAAAAAAATGCTGGAGTTGCCTGGGGAATTCAGAACTAAAAGAGACTTGAGACATGTCAACAAAATGCCATGCACAGCCCTGGTTTGAATAAAGTAACTGTAAAAAGACATTTTGGGGATAATTTGAGAAATATGAATATGGACTGGATATTAAATGATGCTAAGGAATTATCTTGTTCTGTGTGATAATACTATCATGGTTATATAAAAATCACTATTTGAAGATGCATTCTGACATATTTAGCATAATAAAGTGATATCTGATAAAATACAATGGGAATATGGCAAAATGTGAATAAGTATTAAGTTTAGATGATGGGTATAGTCAAGTTTGTTATATTATGCTCCCTATTTTTATGTGTGACTGCAATTTTTCACAATGGAAAGTTAAAAATATATATATAATCAAGATATTTACCTTTCTGCTCCAGAAGACAAGAATATTAGTATGTATGACATCTTTTTCTCCATGGCATTCCCCATTAATTTCGGGTTTTTTAAAACAATAATAACTATGCTTTAATAGTTTCCTTGCTCTCTTTTTATTTACAGCAATAACTTCAGCATCCTCGCTCCTTCTTACAGTTCATTTTTTTTTTTTTTTTTTTTTTTTTTTTTTTTTTTTTTTATGAGACGGAGTTTCGCTCTTGTTGCCCAGGCTGGAGTGCAATGGCGCGATCTCGGCTCACCGCAACCTCCGCCTCCTGGGTTCAGGCAATTCTCCTGCCTCAGCCTCCTGAGTAGCTGGGATTACAGGCACACGCCACCATGCCCAGCTAATTTTTTGTATTTTTAGTAGAGACGGGGTTTCACTATGTTGACCGGGATGGTCTCCATCTCTCGACCTCGTGATCCACCCGCCTCGGCCTCCCAAAGTGCTGGGATTACAGGCTTGAGCCACCGCGCCCGGCCACAGTTCATTTTTTAAAAACTCTTGGCTTTACTTTTATTTTGCCATTTGTTCAAAGTACAAGCTGTTTAAAAGATTCACATCCATTTGAATCTTAGCATATCTGAAAATGTCTATATTTTGCTCTGACATGTTAATTGTAATTTTTATAGATAAAATATTTTATGTTAATAATTATTTTCCTTTAGCACTTTGGGGTGTTTTAGTTTTGTGACAATTTTTGTCAAACATAAGTTGATTCTCATAACTTTGTGGGTTTTTTCCCTTCTCTCTATCTGGAAGCTTTTTACCATTTTCTCTTTGTTCTGAAATTTCATTAAGATATGACTAAGGGCAGGTTTATTAGTACCCTTTAAATTTATTTATGGCCCATTTCAAACTGGAAACTTGTTTCTATGTTATAGTTAGAATATATGGCGCCCCTCCCAATTTCAGGTGTTGAAACTTAATGTAATGTTAATACTACTACATCACATTAAATTTCGACACCTGAAATTGTGGGGAGCTATACAAGGTAATAGTATTAACAGCTGAGGCTTTTAAGAAGCAAGGCCTCCTCTCATGTGGATGAGATTAGGGTTCTTACAAAAAGAGGCTTCACGGAGCATTTGGGCATTTTGCTTTCTGCAGTGTGAAGACGTAGGGTTGCTCCCTTCGAGGGTTCAGCAACAAGCACCATCTTGGAAACAGAGCGGCTCTCACCAGACAACTGAACCTGCTGGCACCTGGATTTTGGACTCCTAGTCTCTAAAAATGTGAGAAATACTTTTCTCTGTTTTATAAAGTACCCAGTCGTATGTATTCTGTTACAGCAGCACAAATGGACTAAGACAATCTGTCTTCAGCTTTAGGACATTTGCTTCTGTTAAGTATCTGTCCACTTCGCCTTTTCTGTTTTTTTCTGTTCCTTCCTTGGAACTCCTAGTAAGAGGATTTTGGAGCTTCTGGATTCATTCTCCGTAAATGTTAAGTTTTTCTCCTACTGTGCTCTGTACTTTCCCCTCATGCATTCTTGGAGAGTTTTCCAGTTTAACTATTCAACCCACTAACTTGTTCTTAAGCTGTATCTAATCTATTTAGCTAACCTCTTGGGCAGGCGTCCCCAAACTTTTTACGCAGGGAGCCAGTTCACTGTCCCTCAGACCGTTGGAGGGCCGCCACATACTGTGCTCCTCTCACTGACCACCAAGGAAAGAGGTGCCCCTTCCTGAAGTGGGGCGGGGGGGCCGGATAAATGGCCTCAGGGGGCCGCATGCGGCCCGCGGGCTGTAGTTTGGGGACGCTGCTTTGGGTTTTATTTTGATGAGCATTATTTTTAATTTTCATGATCCATAATTACATCTGCTGCTTAAAATCTGTTTTTATAGATATGTCTTCCTTTCTTATTCCTCCTTTTACACATGGCTTTCATGAATACATCCAGGTTCTATTGTGAGTGCTATCATTATAGTTTAAAAAACAAATGAACTGGAGTCCCCTTAGTGGGATCAGCACCATGCAGGTCTTACTTTTCAGGGATCTGATTTCAGCAGAATAAGATGCGTTTTTTTTTCAGCTTTCTTCTTTGCAAGGTGCTACTGGGATCTTGGCTCCCAGCTCTGCCTTGTAGGCTTAATTTTACCAAATGTACAGAAATTAGTTTTCAAGGTTGTCATACTTAAATCCCTCAAATGGTGAATTAATTCCACAAGTGGTGACTAGTTATTAGTTATCCCTAGATATGAGGCTCATTGGGCCAAGACCCTGAACCAGTGAAAGCTTTACCAGAGGATGGGCAGCTGTGGTGGAGCTGTGCCTGCTCACATGCACGCTTAAACCCCACAGCTGCTGAAGAACAAAAACACCTGACTGCAAGGTCCCTATAAAGGCAGAAAGAAACT